TTGTATGATAAAAAATAAAGCAATGAAGACATTATTTGTCATTAGACAAACTATACAGAGTCATAAAATGATTTCAAATTCAATGTGTTTAAAAATTATTTGATCAGTTGGTTACACCCATTCTAATGTATGGGTCAGAAATTTGGGCAGGTGAACTAACAAATGACACAAATAACCTAGAGCAAGTTTGTAATAATTATTATCGTTTTATTCTTGGTGTTAGTAAATTTACACCATCAGTTGGTATAAGGGATGAACTAGGTAGATTACCAGTAAGAATAAATGCAATGGTTTCAAAGGTTAAATACTGGTATAGAACAAATTTGCTTCCTGAAAATCACATATTAATTAAAATGTGCATTAAAGGAAATACAAAATAATTCTGCCTGGATTACTCAAATTTTGGGAAAAAAAAACTTGTCTAAAATAAAAGAAACTTACAAGATCAACAATATTAATCAACTAACCAATGTTTTAAAAAACAAAACTAACAAATGAATTTATTCAATCATGGAGAAAACAATTAAATAAAAGAGAAGGGAACAAACTTAGAACATATAGTATATTTAAACAAAATTTTGAATTGGCAAACTACAGTGTATCTAAATAAATTGAAAAAAAATTCAGCCAACGTAGAGTGTTAGCAAAGTTCAGGCTCAGTGACCACAACCTTGAAATTGAATTGGGAAGGAAGAGTAAACCAAAAACCCTAGAAAATGAAAGAATGTGCAAAAAATGCAATTCAGATCAAATTGAAGATGAAATGCATTTCATCTTAGATTGCAATTTCTATGAAGTAGAGAGAAAACATGTCTTGAAGTATTTTAAAATAAAAATTAATGACTTGTCCAGAATGTAAAGCTTCGTGAAAATAATGGGAAATAATATGGCTTTATCATATTGTTTAAAAAATACAATTTTCTAAAAGTTAAATATGTAACTGTGGTCTGGGAGAACCTTGCTGCTGTTTAATCAATTTTTCAGAGATTTTCTAATTTTTCTTTCTTTCTTTTGTTGAATTTCAGTGTATTTTAATTTTAGTGTTTTAGTGTGTCTTATTTTATTTGTCTTTTGTAATCATTTTTTTACCTTACTAAACCCGCAGATGGTTAAGTTGAGTAATAAAGTTATTATTATTATATATGCTTCCTTTTTAAAATTGTCTTCATAAAATATATACTACATGGTAGTATCTGATTAAGAGATTGACCATTACTAACTGGGGGTGCGGGGGAGATGGTATAACAACAGTGCAAGTCTCTCCCTTAGTTTTGAGGAAGATTTTTTTCCCCAAATCTACACACCCCCGAGTTTCTAATCGTCAACCCCTAAATTTCTACAGTACCATCCAATGCAGAATTCATGTCGCTAGTAAATCGTTCCATCTTGTCAAGTTGCCCCTGTCGGCGCTTGTCTTTTCCTCCACCAGCCCCAGCTCCACGATGTCCGGAGCCACGTTTTCTTCCCATGATCAAGGATAGACGTCTGCTAACTGATGACTTTATTATAGATCAACTCCAACTCTATCAGGCGTGTTTACTATGGGCGCAGACATGTTGAAACCGTGATGCAGCCTGGGAAAGTCTCGTGATCGTAAAATTCAAGATGGCGTTTCATCAAACACCTGACCGAGCAGGCGGTGATGTGGTGGAAACGATACAGGGAGATCAAACAAGTGTGAGTAATTAACTGTAAATTATATATAATGAAAATAAGTAAAGAACGTGTGTGAGTGTGAACACACATTTGTATCGATTGGGAGAAATACGAGGTGATACAAAACTGATACGTCGCAATCTCTGACATGCGAAAACAACAACAAACCGGCGCTATCCATGCACGTTGGAACTACCTCTAAATGACTAGCTTGTGTAACGAGGGATATAACAACAGACCACGACAACAACATGATGTTTTTCATTGACCTTGGGATTAGAGAACGTTAGAACAGACAAGACTTCCTGGAACTTCTATGGTTCGATCATTTCCTTGTTGGCTGTTAAAACAATGAGAATGACCTGGTGTTGGAGGTCACACTGAGAAAAGGGGGCGTGTGTAGATAGTTGGCTAAAATTAAAACCTATCGCTATATTTTCTTTGATCGACATTCACCATCTGACTTCATATTACAAAACCTTGATAAAAAAGGTATTGTCATCGAACTACTTTCCTCACATAAAACACCCAAGAAAATGGTGATTTCTGAGCTGATTACCTGGTAAAAAGTTTTCATCATTATGACTACTAGCTGCGGTTCCGTAGCTCTTTGGTGCGACCTACAATCGAATTTCGCCCTAACAATTTCATTTGGACGTCTTTTTTTTAATTTTGTTGTTGTACGTCGAACATAGAGCTACGGGATCTATCACCGTTTAAAAACAGAAATCTGGCATACGTAAATTAAATCGCTTTTGCTTTCGATTACGATGGTGTGACATACCTTTATTGTGAATTGATAGCTGGATGAATAACATACAAACGTTTGTTTGCAATTTGTGTTTATAAATAAGCAATAATTTGTAATATTTTACAATTACCGCGGAAACCAAGCAAATTACGAGAAAACGACAGCCATTGACATCCCACACTCCCTAGCGCAGAATAAATGTAATCTCGTTTGGCGGTCATGTGATACAGTGGTGGAAGAATAAAATTCACTCTTCCCGTTATTCTAATTGTTCCAACAAAGCAATCACATACAGTATTTATAATTGTATGATTTTTGTTTAATAATAGAAACTAGTTGCATAACGCAATTTATCTACTGATTTCGGTCACGTGGTACAAAATTATAGGTCTCGCGTAATTTGCTATAGGTCTTGCGTAACTCTGTAGTCCAAAATGGCGTCTTTCGTCTTGTTATTTTTCTGCGACTTGGTGTACGGTAAATAAAATCAATTTTTTATGACCACCGTCATCATTTCACAGCGCAAATAGGTTCTGGTCATTGTTTGGAAGTAAATAAACATAGTGAGTACTTTCGAATGTCTTAAAATGTGATTTTCGCGACGACCAAATTTGGCATGTGGATTTTAACCGGTATTCAGTCGCACAAGGCCCCATAGCCCTATGGGCCGGCCAGAGTCAGTCACGTAAATAATGCGGTCGGCAACATAGGGCTATGATTCCACAGCTATATGACTACTGCTTCATTACGCACTTGTGTGTTTCCCATACCATTGGCCTGTGTTCATAAAAGGAAAATTTGATTGGTTGAATCATCTGGCAATTACTAGTATTAGTGTCATTAATAATGTTATCTGCAATTGAAATGGGTTGGCGTAAACAACACTTTTATTCTGAGTGGTGAGCTGATTTATGTTACAGTAATAATACACCTCGCTTCAGAGATTTGTCACAAAACAAAACATCATCGAATATAAAGTTTGATATGATCGTGAAGTTGTTACCAGGTCGATTTCGCTCAGGGTAGCAAATGAATTAGCCTAGGCACAGGAAATTTATCTGAAGGTGTGGGCATGTTATTTTGATGGCTTATATATTATATATTATTTGTTCACGTATACAAATATTTGGGGTTATAGCTCCACTCTCTAGAAGCTGCAAACTAACTAAAAATATCATCCTTATTGCTGATCGTCAATAGATTGTAGGGGGCTTACAAGCATGCAAACAAACCAGCCCTCTGTAGTTGACCTAGAGAAAATAACTTTCTTACTGTAAAATACTTTATTTTCGCTTGCAACTAATTTTTGCTATTTTTGCTGAAGGAATGATTCAGTGACAATAAAATCCAGTGAATATACCTTTTTTTCTATATTTTACATTCAACTCGTCAAAAATCAGTGCAAATAAATTCCATACAAAACACCCAAAAATAAAGTATTTTACAGTAGTAATCACCCACATTTCATGAGTGAAAAGTATTCAACACATTCATACAACACGGCAAGCTATGTTCTAACCGAAACAAAGCTAGCAATAGAAGATGAGACTGTTATCATGACAACTAAAACAAACAAAAAATTGTGAGAGCACTCCCGTACAACACACCCCTATTCTACTCCATACATGTACCATACGCATACTGCATGTATGGATTACATCACCATTCACATGTAATAATTTTGTATATACATGTATCTAATGAAATGTTAACATATTAATATATTCAAGGTACCATCAGGAGGATTTAAAAATGCAATATAGACAAAAACATGTATATTTTTCAATATTGTTGTTCGGTTTTTCATAAACTAAACATCTGCAGGTCTCACCCCAGTACACTGAGTGCAAAAAAAAAGGCGCACTCCTATATAACATGGTTTGCTAATTTTGTTGACTCAATGGTGTTACATATAATATTTGGTGGTTCTGCTTGTTCACACTATTTGCTCTGGTACAGCGCCCTCTGGTGGCATAGTAGTGTGATTGAAATACGCATAATATTTTCCTACTGTCATGAATTATGATTTAATTATGTATTGTCCATAACCTATTGCATATTCTGTATTTTTCAGATGAACGGGCCAATTGAATTCTCTGAGTCAATTCCATCTGCTCCAACTACCACCCAAAGTTCTGTAGAACAAGTAACTTCAGTGGGTGAAAGGTCATGGGAGAAACCATGGACAATGAATGAAATACGAAAAAGTAGTTCTAATTGGTCATTGGCTTCAGATTCTGGGGTAAGTCTATGTCTAGTGTTACACATACCATATTCAGTGTGCAGGGCCTATATACGTGTTTATTATATGATAATTCAGATTCTGGGGTGGGTTTTTAGTCTCCGTCGGACGTAGTTTTGTAGTTTATGTTTCGTCCATCGATACGTCCATCGTTATTTCTCAGAGCTGCCTCGACCGATTTTTTTCAAAGCCTGGAACAAAGACAAGTCATAATGGGAGACATGTGCACATGTGCCCATTTTTGTCCCCAAAAAACACCAAAAATCAACATTTGTCCGGACATGCCTTGACCGATTTCATTCAAAATGGCAGACTGGTGGCTATTTTATTTTTTTACGAGTGTTCTGCTCATTTTACAGAGATGAGTCTACAGATTTGAGTTAAATTTTGTACAAAGGCAAAGCTGTTTTGAGTAATTTTTCATTTTCATCAAAATTTAGCCAAATGACGGCCATTTTCGTCAAAATAAAATAAAATAAAAAAAATCAATCATGTCATCAATCATCTTGGACATGCTATGATCAATTTCATTTAAGCTTGGTCTTTATACCAGTTTCATGCACATTTGTAGTTAATATGCTAAATTCTATCCAAATATTTAAACATAATCTGACTGCTTTTCATTGTTTGACAAAGTCACTAAAACATGAGGGGGACTATGTTATTGACAATGAGTTGTCTAGTATTACACATACCAAATTTAGTGTGAGGGGTGTAAGAGGTATGAAAATTCAGATTCCGGGATAAGTCTATATCTAGTATTACGCATATCATATTCAGTGTTAGAGGTCTGTATGAGGTATGAGAATGTCTTAACCTTAAGTCAATTTTTGTCATTAAATAAAACTGCACCATTTTTCTATTTTTTAGAAAATGGTGATCTAGGCCTGTAGCCAATAAGAAATTATGTCAACTTGTTAAAAATTATCAAACAAATTATAATAAAAAAACTTTTAAGGTAGAGATGCAGTAGGATTTGTACCAAAATTTCTTGTTGAATAGTGCAACACTTGATGAAAAATATTTTCCATACAGTACTCATTCCACCCAACCTCCTGCTTTTATTGCTTAATTTCCGACCGTTCGCTGCTTTCCGACCGAAAACCGACCGCTTTTTTTCCGCTTGTTAACGTTCGCTCGCATTTGTCCGCTCGCTCGCTCCTGCTATGGCTGGCTTCAGAAACATCGTCCGCTTGCCAACCGATCGCTGGAGTAACAATGATCGTACATTGTATGTATAAACTTATGTTTTTATTCGTAATAAATTTAGGTTTTAATGACGATTCAAAACACAACGCCTATTGCTTCTCTGTTTTGGGAAGGGGACAAAGACGCCTTCAAATCACTTGACACATTGTAACGTTTGCTAAGCAAGTCGAACTGTGACCTGTATTTACATATTTACGTCCTTGTGAGTGTAGTTCAGCCGCACGAAAAATGAAAGAGATCTCGGAACAGTTAATTGTTGAGGAAAACAAAACAAACGCAGCCAGTGATAAATTTCGAAAATAAAAATACAAAATAAACGCAATCAAAGACGCCAACCACGCGCATTGGAAATAAATAAAACGTGTTGTGACAGTTTCACCAAACTCTTTCACTCGCGCAATATAATTATGTTATTTCCCAAAGCACTTATATTTAATACATTGACGAAAAACGCCACAAGAAAAATGTAAATCAGGCTTGTAATTACTAGTAACTCTACTCGAACGCAATGTTGATCACTGTAAAAGTGGATAAATTCGAACCGTCATCAAATTCAAAATTCAAGCGATCTCGTTGAATGTCAAAAATAAACTCGATGTTTAGAAAGACAAAAACAATACCATATTAGAGTGCAAAAAAAGTTAGCAGAAAAGAAGAGAAGTGCATGTTGGAAAGCGATGAGTGAACTCGAGGAAAATTATGCTAATGTGAGAACAAGTCATATACCCGTGGAGTACTCGCTCAAACATCGAGAAAATGTGCCATTTCAAAGGGCACCCTTACAAATAATGTCTGCGATTGTGTGAACATGATAACGTGCAAACAAGGAACAGAGCTCGTGGTCCACCAAGGAAACTTAGTGATGACGCAGTTAGATGTATACGGCTGTTGAAAACAGAGACTCCTTCGATCTCATATAAGCAGGTTCACGTGGATGTATCATTTTCAACTATTACCAACAACGCTATGATAATAAAGACATTGTGAAATTCTTTTGTTTTTATGTAGAAAAATACAGTAATTTTACCAAGTAAAATCATATTTATTAAAATTGTTGTTCATACATGAGTTGTCGAACACACTACATAGTTTGTAATTTCATCCAGCTCCTTTCAGTCACGATTCAAGACAAATAAAAGGCACAAATATAGATAATATAGCAAATTATTTTTTTCTGTAATATTCGTGTGTAATCAGTAATTATGAAAAAAAAATTATGGGTACATATGGAATACATTTCTATGAATTATTCTTAATATCAATTTCTAAATTATCTTGTCAAAATCAGCTTTTTTTCAGGTTTTTCCCCCAAAACGAAAGAATTTCATAATGTCGGGAACGGGAAGTTTTTTTATTTTATTATTTATTGAAACGGAAAGTCTTTATCGTAGTGCTTGGCCTCGGTTGACAATGAGCTCTTCGGGTCATAAAACTGTATGTCCACCTCTGTTGGAGTGAACATTTGTATTATTATACTGAATAAATCTTAGAACAGAAATTGTGGCACTCAATCATGGCAATCTTCCAGGTCATCATTAGAAAGATTTTCGGAGGCAAATTTAATCTTGAAGGATTGCAGGAAATTGACCCTTACCGATTCATATTTATGAATTAATCGGGATTCAGGTACCATAGTGTTTGTAACCACAGTCACTCCTAGTAGAGTGACTGTGTTGTAACAGAAAAAAAACGAACTTTTGCGTGGAATTTTTCATGCAAACATTGTGAATGGTTCCCCGACACTGATTCCTTTTTAACTTTCAATTTTTCTAAGACGCGGCAAACCCTGCTCATGACCGGAGACGTCATCGAGATGCAGGTGCGATTCCTCTTAGCAACGCGTTCTATTTATTTCGAAAGCGTGTGGTCGGCGCCTTTGATTGCGTTTATTTTGTTCTTTTTATCTATCACTGGCAGCGTTTGTTTTGTCGTGTCTCACAACTTAATGTCCAAGCTGACTTTGTTTTGGCTGTAAGTGAACTACGTACAGTATTTCGCCCAGAGTTCGCAAAACGGAATACCCTGCAAAATTTGAATCCTTTATTTTATAACGAGACATTGGGCACAAAAATAAAAACCATAATTGTAATTCAACAAGTTTATGTAACGTGTTAGTCCGCTTGCCAGCCGCCTAGTTAAAAAACGCGATCTCCATTGATGTTTGGTTCGATTTTGTTTATGATGGACATTATTACTACGCGTATGTATTATCACCAATTTTATATGGCCGTGTGTTTTCAACGGTCATTCTATAAATTTCTGATTGTATTATTATTCTTATTTTAACAGCATAAAAACAAAAATGATACACTTGTACATGAAACAGTAGGTAATGAACTGTAAATGCGGGCAGTTGTGCTGTCAGGCGAGCGCGCGCGCGAGCGAGCGGATACTTCCGGATTTGCGCGGTCGAAAAAAAAGCGTAAATTGTCTGGTCGAATTGAACAAAGCGAGCGAAAAAAAAGCGATCAAAATCTGGAAGCGAGCGGGAGGTTGGGCGAAATGAGTACTGTATGTATCCAAAATTAATGTACAGTGAAAATCCCTACCCAATTCATCCTATATAATTGTTAAATGTTTTCTATTAATTGGGAGCATAAAAAAAAGATTTAAATTTGTATCTGTTCTGAAAATTTTTATAACTATCAAGAAATAAAAAAAAAAAAAACGGTGTTCCAAACTTGACACCCCTTTAAATTTGTGTCACTTTCAAAAAATTACGGATTCCTGCTCACTGTCATTGTGCCGTAATGCATTGTACTGATACATGTTATCATTATAAACCTTTTGACCACCAGACTCTCTCACCCAAATTTTTCTGCACCTTGTTTGTAAATTCTTCAATATTTCTGGAAATTAACCCTAATTTTAAAACCAACAGACAAAATTTAAGTAAATTTTCAGTATTGACTTGAAAAATTTGTCTATTTTTGTCCCAATCTTCTGAAGAAGTTCAGACTATAAACAGAACCATTTTTGTGATAAAAAGCGGGAACTGTGGTGGTGAAAAGGTTAAACAGGCGAATGGAGTACTGTATAACATGAACACAACATTTCTTTTAACTAGCCTAGGTTTAACAAAATTGACATACTTAATATGCACTGAGAAAAATATATATTAATATTAATACTGAAAATAAATACTGTCAGTAACAGTTACTAAAAATAACAGAGCAGCTTTTGGCAGTTTCTAGCCAAGGCTTTATTTACTGAACAAGTTCTAAAAATGTCCCAATTTATGTGTTTTCCGTGATGATATTGATGGACAATAAAAAAAACTTTCTACAATCCCCAGTAATCGGATTTTTGAACCATGTTTCTCTGTTTTATTTGGTTTCAGCTTTTACTGTTTTTACAAGAGTTTTCACAGAAGATGGTATGCCGTACACATGAGATTCAGAAACAAGTGGACGGAGTGTTACATGAAACTAAAAGTATTGACTCCAAAATGCACAATGTCTTCAGTGACTTCCTCATGCTGTCTAATACTCAGTTTATTGAAAACGTAAGTATACAACCTTTCATTAACCTTTTCACCACCAGACATTCTTGCCCAAATTTTTCTGTACCTTTTTCTAATATTCTTCAATATTTCTAGAAATGAACCCTAATTTTAGAGCCAACAGTCAAAATTTGAATCAATTTTAAGTTTTTACTCAAAAGATTTGTCTCATTTTGTCCCAATCTTTTGAAAGAAAGTGCAGACTATAAACCAGACTATTTTGTGAATTTGTGATGAAAAGAGGGAAATTGAATGTGTTTAAAGCTTAAGCATGGCATTTTTGTTGTTAAGCCTGGTAAAGCTATTGTGTGCTTAACACGCTTCATGAAAACACATAAATATAATTCCTTTCAATGACTCACCAAACTAAACTTTTCATTCGACAGAGAGTATATGACGACGCTCCCGAGGAATCAGAAAGTAACAACGCTAATAAAGAACACAAAGAACACAAAGATGAGGTGAAGCTAACATGATAAATTACTCTTTTCTGAATCATCTTGCTTCAAGCCTTCTGAAAATATTGTTTATTATTAACTGAACAACAATATATATGTGACATGTAAAATAAATACTTCCTTGTATTCGTAGGAGAAGACTCGAGAACAGAAAGAATCTGAGTTGATCCCCAAATTGACTGAAGCATTAAGTTATGGATTATCAGTTTTAGACAATGCATTTGATAAGTTAGATATTAAAGCTGGGAATTCTGATTCAGAGGATGATGATGTTGCTTATAAAAATGATCCAATATTAGAGCCAAAGGTGAGTTCTGTCTATGTTATGATTCAACAACAGATGAGTTCTGAGATACCTCATGAGTTTCTTGGTTGCTACATTAAGGTAGAAGCCTACTCATAAATGCAAATATCCTGTATTTAATCATTTTGCAATAACTGGTACTTCCAGGCAATATAAGGATATTGACTTTAAAAAATTTGGGGGTTATCAGCCTAATATTTGGGAAAATTATGACGCTATTTTATTGTGCATGATTGCACATGATATACCAATGAACATTGTCATGCGATTTATGACCAATTTTGTCTAAAATTATGAGCACATTCCAACAGAATTTTCCTAAGCTTGTTCACCTTAGTTTTTCACAGTTGAATTTACATACTTATGAAATGTCTTACGATTGTATGGATTTCAAAATTTTGTATATTATTTTTTATGTGTACACATGTTTTGTGAACTTCAAAGTTACTATAGATGCCAATAATACAAATATCTGCTTAGAATTAAACTGCATAGTCCTTAATGTATTATGTGTTATCTGATACCCAGCGTTAATTGGAATAATATATTTTAAATTCTCTTATTATGAATGATATTGATAAATGCAGACTTGGATTGATCTTTGTGTGAGTTTGAACTTCACACATACATCTTGGAATACATAATTATGTACATCAATTACCGGTAGTATCACAATCCAAATCAAAATGGCCAAATGGCAGCCATTTTTATGGTAAAATTAAGCATTTTTGCCATTCTGGAACCAGATCTTGGTCTTGTATGGATGGATTTCATGCAAACTTGATACATGTATGTACATTGTACATTATGGGACCTTGATACATGTCCTCCTCTATGACTTCATATTACAGTTTATTTTCTTTGTAATAGGACCTGTATGCACATCGACCACTGCCATACCTTATTGCCACCCCAGCTTTTATGCAGGATGATGATGTTGGTCTTGGAGATATCCCTAGTGAAGGTAAATGAATCAGTCGACCTTTGAAGTGATCAAAGTTCAACTCAAATAAATTTGTTTTTGTTGCAATAGTGCCATCTCATTATTCTGTCAAATGTTCGAGTTAGTGATTCATCAGAAAAATAATTCAACCGACGTATAAAAACCTGGGTGGTTGCTTTATACAGGTTTGACTGTATATGTTGTGTGTAGCTGGCCATACAGATTTATACAGCTGTTTATCTATGCACCAATATTTTCTCTCTTTCAGATGAATATGAAGAGAGTGAGCATGGTAGTATTAGTGCATCAGAGGAAGAATCAGAGACAGAGGTAGGCCTGGGTAATGTATCAGAGACAGAGGTAGGCCTGGGTAATGTGTCAGAGACAGAGGTAGGCCAGG